AGGCTAGCACAAGGACGTTTCAGGGCCTTCTGCAGCAATGAAGTACATATTAGCTATGGCAGATCTGCCACTAGTTTAAAATTCATCCAGTAGATGGGACTTTAGGAACAAACGACGTCAGGACTGGAAAGGCAGCCTGCCCAGCAGCCTTGGCCTAACCGCAGAAAGATGAAGCAGTTGCATTTCTTCCCCTCCTCTCTGCCAAGGCAACTGTACATTGTTGCTATAAATAGAGGCGCTCTGGATCCCAGCTTCTTTTAACCTTGGAGGGAGACAACTCGGCCACTGTACCAGCGAGAGAGGCAGAGGGCTGTCGCCACCTAGAAGTGCCTCAGTGCCACAGGGGTTTCCTCCAGCCCACCTGCCTGCTCAGGTACGGCTGCCTACGCGGGTGGTAAAAGCACTTGCTCAGAACTGCCGGCAAACCCCGTCTGCCCAGCACGCACAGGGCCGGGACGCGTGCCCTGCTAACACAAAAGCTGCATCAGCAGAAAAAGCACAAGTTGGAACCCTGGCCAGGAAAGCCTGCTGCAGTCTGGAGGCGAGGAAGAGTTCTCGGTGCCTACTGTTGCAATTTGGAAAGGCAAAGATAGAACTACTGAATTTGGTTTCCGACCCGAGACTCCCTTCCAAGGTCAGTGCTTCAGCTGTGCAGGTCAGACTGCAGCTACCCCTGAAGCAAGCAGTACACCTGCGAGCAGGCAGTTTTTATTACAGGGCTTTGCTCTTGTATTCAGCTCATAACACTTAAAGCTGTGCCAAGCCGGCCTTGTAAATGCAAGCCACGCCTATTTTCCATCTGGTAGGAGGAGATTAAAGAAAGCAAACCCCTATCTTTTAAAAGTAACTGGCAGGTCTTGCAAAACAGTAAATACTGCCCATTCCAAGAACAGGATTTTGACAGTTTTGAGCTAGAAGATGAATTAATGCACAAGATGGAATTCTAAAATTTCAGGTAACACAGTTACAAGACACAATCACGTGGATGCCTTGCAGCAGTAGCAGGCAGCTCCAGAAGTGTGTGTTCCAAGCAAGAGCAGTGGAATTGCACAGTCGGGGCACAGCCGTCCGAGTGTCAGCAGCGGTAAGAAAGCACAAAGGTAAGACAGCTGGACTCCTCCCTCAGCAGTCCTCAGCTGCACGCGGTACAACGCGTTTCAGTGGAGATCTATCTACATGAGGAAGAACTTGTACAGGAACTGAGCAGAATGTGTTTGTAGCTGGAAACTTAAGAGTGTTATCTCCATTGTGCAGAGAAGTAATGGTTGGAGGTGGCAGGGCAGCAGAGGATTTGGACACCTTTAGCCCCAGCCATCAATGTTTAAGCAACTACCAAAACACTGGGGCAACAAGTACGCCCTCTTCCAAGAAACAAAACTAGTCAAGCGAGAGGGAGAGCAACACTTTACAGCTATTCCTTCGACAGATGGCTGCTGCGAAGTAACATGGATGCTGCTGCCACGTGCAACAGACAAGAGGAATATCAGGTCTGTGTGTGAGCATGCATAAATAATTATCACCACTGGAGTTCTCAGCAAAGCTTCCATCCCCTAGAAGCACACTATAAAAGGGAACTATGATAACAGTAACAAGAGAGCAAAACCATTTGAAATTCTCATCCTTTAATGGTCAATGATAACTTCTGGCTGGTTCTGTGTAATACAATTAAACAACATACTTAAATGTTTCAAAAAAAAAAAAAAAAAAGGAAGCTCTCACCCCCCTTTCTATAGCTTTCTTTCATCGACATTCCGCTGCTGGACTGGACTCCCATGGCCTAACATACAGCTCGCAAGTCACCACACATCCACGTCTTAAGTGTAACGAAGAACTGAAAAACCTTGGTGCACCAGTGATGTGTTATTTTAAAAATAACAGCTCTATTAAACCAAATCCTTCCCAGTCTCCACTGCTTCTCAAAGAGGAAAAACAAAATGTTACTGCGGGAGTCTTAATACACTCGTCTTTGTGGGTTTCTCTCTTCCCTGCTGAAGTCATACAGCATAGAGTTCATAGATCTTCTTTACACAGTACACCAGGGCAGCGAGTGCTATCGTGTTATGCAGTCTCTTTCTGTGCAGGTCGTCCTTCCTCACCAGCACCACTGGAGTGGAGGAGGTGAGCGTATGCAGGGGCAGGCGGGAAAGTTTATAGGCATCGTACTCTACTTGGTACTTGCAACAGGGATCAAATTGCCAAGAGATACCATAAAGGGTGCAGCAAGCCACGCTCAGCACACCAGCAGGCAGGGAGATGTAGTGAGAATAATCTACTGGAAGTGCCAGAGGGGTGAAGAGACAGGTGGTGCCCGCTAACACGGCGGTCTTGTGCAGGCAGTTCCCGACGGTGATCCAGCGGGCCGTCTCATCCCCAATGCGAGTGGGCTCTATCACTATGTATTTGTACTGGGCTTCCAGCGCCTGCTCCAGCTCATACTCAAACTGGTCCTGAGCATTCTCTCCATTGTAGATCTCATGCACGATGTAACAGTCCGTGGAGGACAAGGTGACCCTGTTAACAGGAAACACGGAATTAAAACGACAGAGCTTAAAGACGGACTTTTCACCCGCCCAGCTGTGAGAACAGGAGAGAAAAATGCCCCAAGTGAGGGCAGCCCCTCAAGGTCAGCCACTGCCTCTGTTCAACGACAAGCAGCTTTTTCAAATCAACGTTCATTTCACATCAGCTAATTATGCCTGCTGTACATGAAGTCATCCCAAAATAAGGCAACATATTTTTCCTTACCTCTTCCTAACTTGGAGGAGCTAGAACATTTTGAGAAAAAAGGATCTTGTTAACAACCCTGGAATGGTTCCTCACACTGATACCCAAGCAGTTTCTCTAGAGATACCGGAAGCATCACACCTTAGCGACCGCACCACATCAATGAATGAACCATACAGACTTAAGGAGTTTGCACAGAAAATAAGACCAGCACCTCATCCATCAAGGGGGCAGGTTGCGCTGGAAGGTTTTAAGAGAGGAAGCATCTTCAGATGAATATGTTTGCTTTCTCCCCATAATAACTACCTCCTTGCCACTGATGCAGCTTGCTATTGAGTCCTCCATAGTAAATCCAACCTAGTAAATCTATAGTAAATCCAACAAGGATGGCCAAGAAACGTTACTGGAAGTGAAGGTGAAACAGGTAGCAAAGCACTCAGTTTGTTACAGAACGGTTCGCTCCCTCTCCTCAAACAGGATGCAGCAAAGCAAGAAAGGAACTTTTTTTTAACCCAGGCTGGCTTTAACAGTGAAGAAAGAGCTGCTCACTTTACCTCGGAGCAGGCTCCCTACTGACAGGGGACTGATTCACAGGACTTGTACATCCCCCATTTGAGTAGCAGCTTTCAGCTACCTGAAGTCACATCAGTTTCCACTTTCCCTCCACCCTCTTCACACACATCACCTTAGCTGCAGCTACAGTAATGTAACAGATGGCTAAGTAACAGGATTATGACTGTTTACCTGCGCTGAGAAAGGGTAAAAGCCCATCCATTAGAACAAGGCAAAATCCTCCCTTCTAAGCAGAAGAAATAACTATTTCTGACATACTTGTGCTTAACCAGAGCAAAACGGAGCACGTGGCCTCTCAAGGATAAAAATATCTAGCAGATTCCTTTAGCAGAAGGAGAACGAGCCGCACACATATTCGACCTAATCACAGCAGACAAAACAGCCTCATGCCAGCAGCATTTAGACCCTCCCAATATTGGGAGGCAAGACACTGCTGAGATGGAAAATGAAACTGGCACTTTTTGCTCCATTAGTACAATGGTACTTATGTGCATGCACTGGAAAATAAGGGAGAAAAACACATTCGCAAGCCGCTATGTTACCAGACATTACCCTTAATGTGCAGCTCCATTCATGCTGCAAAGGGTATCGTGCAGTGGCCATCTGTAATCAAGAATATTGTTAAATTATAAGCTGTGGCCAGAAGTAGCTGCTTTTGTGAACAGCGGCAAACATACCAAACAGCAGGACCCAAGATGTACCAGCCTCTCTCAAAGCAGAGTAATAAGCAGTTTCATTAAAAGTCTGGCTGGAATTTATATAAACTACAGGGAAAACTCAACTCACAAGCTACAGAACTTGGCCTGTTCACAGGTAGAAAGAAAAATAAAAATCCACCTGAATGCTGTGTACGCCAGGGGCTTCTTTAATGCCATCTTCTTGTCAGATATCGTTTGGAAAATTATGATTGACCCTTTCAGCACAGGACGTGGTGGGCTCTGACATCCTGTAGCGAGTTGGCAAGTATTTAAAGAAAAATTTTGAAGGACAGCACCTATATAAAAGATTTTACAGAGTACTACATCTCTAATATAACTAAGTATATCAGCTAACATTAAGGAGTTTCTAACAAAGAACTAGTTAACCAGGTGTTACGCTGATACATTAAGGACACAGCTGGTAATGGTTTCTGCCAAGGATTTTTTTTTTCTTGATGACAACTGTTCCACATGCAGCTTCTTCCAAATCAAAAATTCCAGTTTCATTACAGAAGACATGCTGAGCCTTAAGGTAACTCGGTAAAACACCACCAATGACTATCTGAAACCACTTGCTAAGGCATAATGACTTCAGGGAAAAGCTATTGCTGAAAGGCATTTTCAAGCTGGAAGCTGACCCAGTGCTAACAACAACCCTCCAGATAAAATTGGTGTTTCCTACCAAGGAGGATGTTCAGTGTTTTGTAATACCTAGGAACATGCAGCGTGGGTCTGCAAAACAGAGAAGCAGGAACTCCGCAGAGGCTTAGGAACAGCACAATAGCCTGGTCACCCCAGGATCTCCCTGCCATCACTGGGAAAACAAGGGTGAAGCAAGCCCATTTCTTCTCTGCCTGTACAAGAGCCATGCGGAACGGGGCTTCCAACTCCAGGAATTAAGTCAAGTAACTACATTACATGGGATTTCTCCAGGCTCAGTGTCAGGACAGCGGCACTAACCTATCAGCCTCATTTCTCCTCGCTCAGATCTTGCCTGTTCTTCCCTCTGAATATCCCTTCTTTCCTTTCACCGTAATGTACGCAAACAGAGCCATACCACAAGCAACAGCCACCTGTCAGAGAGAGCAGGAATCCAACAGACTTTGGCCAGAGGCAGTACTGTCCATCTCTTCTGGAATCTTTTGGCTTGCCAGGCTCTGGGGCTTTATAACAATAAAGTCAAGAAAAGCACAATCCTCCTAAGCCAAAACAAGCAGATCTTAAAATATGTTCTGCTGAAAAAAAATCACTGGGAAATAAACTGCACAAAGGCTTCATCCCTGATAGAGCCTGGCCCCTTAACTATGCTGTTTCTCCAAATTAGTCCTCTAATATGGGAATAAATCTCTATCACAGTGCTGAAGCTGCAAATGGCAAAATGGGCAAACCAAAAACAAAGGACAAAGAATGAAAAATTAGCTGCTCAAACAATAGGACACATGAAGAGTCAGCAACGCAAGCAGAAAGTCTCCATTTCTTTAACAGAGGAAGCAGGGTTTATCACGTATTACTTTCACACAAGAACTGGCTGCCCCTGGAAGATGAAAAGCTGAAAACTGGTTTGTTTTCAGATGATATAGAAAGAGACACAGATGAGAGACGTGGACTTGAGAAGGTTTTAGGCCTCATTGGCTTGCAGAGTAGGACTGAGGACCTCAATCCACAGAGGCAATCTCTCCTGACACAGCCTTTCAATTGAACACAGCAGCTGCACATGAACAAATCCAGTCAAAGCAATTGGATTTGCTCAGACACTGGAGACTATGGAGTTTGCCTTTTGGAGCTTGTCCCCCACCCCCCAGCAATGACAAAAATGCAGAGCTATGCAATCAACCCCAAGCTGGCATCCACTGGTTTTAAGTGTGGCGATTTCATGTAAATTCCATTTTACTTAAAAGAATAGCTGATAACCAGTGTCAGAGAGGATCTAGTTCCAGAAGTCATAAAATGCTGCCACATGCTCAGAAGCCCAGCATGCTATTTACTAGACAGAGCAGAATCTAAAAGCAGTCGTTAATATTATTCAATCAAATGTGTTTCCAGGACCTGCCTCCCCACCCCAAAAAAGAGGGCTACGTTAAAAAGCTGTACAGCTGTTCTGTAAGAATAGTTCTGGACCTTATATCCAAATAGTTTATTCTGTTGCAGCTTCACACATTCTATTCTTGAGAAATTTTAAATGTCTCATTCCTGGTGCCAACGGCATGCATAGATGGGGGAATGTGACAGTACTCAACTATTCAGCATAGAAAGATGAAAATAATTTAAAATCACTGATGTAAACTTTTGGTATTGCCAAAGTTATAAATAAGGAATCAGTTGTTAACAGAGCTACCACCAGCAGGAGGGGCGGAAGTGTCTGTCTTCACTATAGGGCAAGCTTCAAATTACATTTGGATTACCTTCCTAACATGGGAATATCAGAGAGCACTGGGAGAGGGGTGCTGCAGCTGGCTGAACAACAGCAACTCCAGCAGTTTCCCAGTTACAGCCCTCAAAGCAGCTCCATTTCTCTGCCTCCGACGTGGAAGCAGTCTCCTAGCTGCCTCTTGAAAACAGCAGCCTGTCTGTTAAATGTAAGTTTCAATTCCATAGTCCTTATGGATGAAGAGATAAACACCCTTTCTAAGGAGGAGGAAAAGAGCTTAAGTTTTGTCAGGTGCCAACTGGCAAAGAGAGAAACAAACGAACACAGTGCTGAAAACAGGGCAGGTGACAACATCCTGGAAGAAACCCCAGCATCCTTCTACCACTGTCCACTTGCAGGGAAGAACGACTGAGCCTCACGAGTTTGTTGCTCTCAGCCTAAAGGTGTTCCTCGATCTGCCAGCGAGGCTTTTGGCGAGGGTTTCAAGTCATCCATCTATCTCAGTTCTGCAAAATGTTCCGAATCGCTATTAGAAACAATCTCAATCTGCACAAAGCACAGGTACAGTTCTGTGCAAAAATAGTTCTTTTTAAACCCCTCCCATAACACGGAGATCAAGTTTTGTTTGCTTTTTAAGAAAAATGTTCCTGGACAACAGTATTGCTCAGAGCACCAAACATACATTCAGATTAACTGTAAATGAAGACCAGCCTGATTAGTAATAAAAAAAAAAAAAGAGAAGCTTGCAGCAGTGTGATAACGCCTGTCACAAGCAGTGCACACACACACAAAATCTAGTTTAGCAATGCAACAGAGGGACTTCATGCTGGCTGTGCAAGTGGACTGCAGAAGAAGGACATTACCGGTGGCCAAAGCACAGTGTCTGGGGTCATTATTAGCATCTCAGCCAAGCTTGAGTAAGTCAGTAAAGTCAAGGCATGACAAATTCAAAAACTAAACTTCCCTCCCCCCACATAAACCCTTCTTGAAATTTAATTTAATTTCAAGATTAAGGAATGAGCCGTGGTCTGGCTTTAATTCTCAGTGGAAATACTCCACCTCAAAGTCTTATTCAACAGTGTATTTTCCTACTCAGGAGAGCTCCAGGATATGGCATACAGAAAGTATGAACACATCCGAGCTCAAGC